TTTTTTGTATTTTATTTATTTATTTGGAATAGGCTCTTGCTATGTAGCTCAGATTCATAGTGATCCTCCTGTCACAGCCTCCCCAGTGCTGGGATTACAGGCGTACACCCACATGCCTGGCACGGGGCTGGCATGGCATGCGATACTAGGGATCAAACCTTGCCAGGCAGGTCCTTAGACTGCCACGCTATCTCCCCAATCCCCTGCTTGTTTTAATACTAGAAAAAAAGCTGTCAATTATTGCAAGTTTAATAACCAGGATTCAAATGCTTTTTTTTTTCCTGAAGCTAGTATTTTAAAGAAATTTCTATTTTGATAACTATTTTGGTAGTGGGCTGGGCAAATATCTCAGTGGCAAAAGGGCCAGGGGTTTGATCCCTGGGCCTGCCATGCTGGCCCCGCCCTTGGGGTGCCCTGACATGGCAATTGAGACTGGGCATGGTGTCACACGCCTGTAATCCCAGCTCTTGGGAGGCTGTCAACAGGCGGATTACTATGAGTCCAATCTAGTAGCGAGACACTGAACACCTTGTAGAACTTCCCCTAAAATACAGGAAAAAGAACCACATTTTTTGGTAGTGATACCAAGGATATATCAGTAAGAAATCTTTCATACTAGATTAGACATTACTTTAGCGTTTTCATTTGTCTTTCCAAAATGCAGATTCAAATCAGGCACAGGCCTGTAATCCTGCCTTCTTGGGAAGCTGAAACAGAATCACTAGTTCTAGCATAGCCAGGGCAACAGAACGAGAACTCATCTTAAAAGACACAATAACAAAAAGAGATTTGGATTGTTTTGGCATATTTTAGCTGTTGTTTGAAAGAGAATATTTTTTGTACTGGGACATTGTCACTGTTTTTCATTTATTTTATTTTTTTGGTGGAACCGGGGATTGAACTCAGACCCTTGCACTTGACAGGGAAGTGCTTATTCTACTGGGCCATCTCGCCAGCCCCGTTTTTCATTTATCTTTGCTTTGTTGTTATTCTTTTGCTTTCAGTTACTGAGGATTGCTAGAATCAGAAGGGTAGCATCTGGGTCCACAAAACAAGTTTGTGCTGTCTTCAACTGTAACTTCCATTTGTGGTTTTGTTTTTTTTGTTTTTGTTTTTGGCAGAACCGGGGATTGAACTCAGGCCCTTGCACGTGCCAAGCAAGCGCTTATTCTATTGAGCTATTTCCCCAGCCCCCTGTAACTTCCATTTGGATTGGCCATCCGCACTTCATGTTGTTTTTTAAGTAACACTTAGGATAGTAGGTATTGAAATTTTTTTCTTTCCCAACTTCTCCAAGTGAATGGAGGCAAAAGTACAAAGTTGGGGGCCAAAATCACATTCAGTTTAGAGATGGGGCTTTAGTTTTTTTAAAACTAGGTGTGGAAGACTTGAACTGCTCTTTAAGATTTCTTTCTGTAGGCTGGAACTACAGCTCCGTGGTAGAGCACTTGCTAGCATGCTGGCGACCTTGGGTTCGACACTCAGCTCCATGCAAAGACAGAGTTCGTCCAGGCCTAAGAAAAGCCTGGGGTTTCAAGCATCCTGCTCTGCCTGCCTATCGATGTCTTCCCCAAAGGCTCATGTGCTGGCTGGGTCTAAGGTGCGTGCTGCAGAGATCAAGGATGAGGTGCTGGTAGTAATTGGTGGTGCGGTGCGAGGGTCAAGGCTGCCCCCCAAGAGTGGGTACCTGGATAAGATGAAAGGGACAGAAGGGGGCCTGTGGTGCCGGCTGCTTGCTGCCTTCCGCCACACATGGAGTGCTTCTCCTCTGCCTTGGAGCCAGCCAGCTATGGAGTAAGACCTCCACAAACTGTGAGCCAAATTAGCCTTTCCCTCTTTAATTTTTGTTTTATTTTTTTATTTTTTAGGGAAGGGTCTACAGGGTGTTCAGGGTCTCACTACTAGGCGCTTTCATCCGCTGAGCTATTCGGCTAGCCCTTCCCCTTTCATTTTGGGTGTTGGGTATTTGTAACAGCAATGAGAAGATAGTCTCAGAACCTGCTTTTTACTCTCTAATCTAGTTTTTCAACCTAGCATTAGAATTTATATCTTCTAAAAGTATTTTGGGTATACTGTTGTGACTATTTTTTCTTACTGAAAATGCGGATACTTGGTCTGAACTTCTTAATTTTCAGTGTTTTCTACCTCCATATTTTTAGTTAAATTCATGTTTTGTACTGTTGCCCCCTTTTGAGTTTCTGTGTAGGCATAGAAAGCATAAACAAGGATACCAAAATGTTTTTAATAAAAGTATTAGAAGTAGTATGAATTTTTATCAGAGAAGGAGTTAAATGATACATCCATGCTTTGCATCAGGTAAAAAGAATGATGTAGACCCATGTTGTATGTGTATGTGGAGAGATTTTCAAGACATACTAAGTAAAAAAAGCAAATTACAAAAGGGTATTTTTATTATGATTTCATTTAAATTTAAATGTTAAAGCAAAATCATATTTCTCTATTATGTATATTCAGATGTATGGGAAGAAAGATATGTCAAAAAGATACATATTGTCAATTGAGTGGCATATGCCTATAATCCCAGCATTTTGGAAGTAAGGGCAGGAATATCTTGAGTTCAAGGCCAGCCTAGACTACATAGTAAGACCCTGTTTTCTTTTAATCCTGCCCCAAAAGAAAAGAGAGCTGGATGTGATGGCATACTCCTGTAATCTGAGCATTGGGAGACTGAGGCAGGAGGATTGTTGCAAATTCAAGGTCAGCCTGGGATACACAGTAAATTTAGACCCAGCCTGAACTACTTAGCAAGAACCTCTCTAAAAAAAAAACAGAAAAAAAACAACAGAATTATAGATGTCACACTGATATATTTGCTGGGGAAGGCAGTGAGATTCAAGAGGAAGCTATCAGATTGAATTTATTGTCTTACTTGTGAAACCTAAAAAAAAATTTTTTAACGTTCGATGGGTAATGTGCCCACGTCGTAGCAAGGTTTGAGGGCGGCACATCTCATGCGTAAGACATGAACACCCAATCGTCTCACTCATGATCCGAAGTATCACCTAAAAAAATTTTAAAAGGGAATATGTAACTCACCCTTTCATTTCCAGAGATCATACAGCTTGAAAGGCATTTTTAGAAAATCATGTTGTGTAGTTCTCAAAAATCTAAAGACTATGCAGTATGTTACGTGCTGCACTGAGGCTGTTGACGACGGTCAGGATGATGCCTAGGTTTTCTGATTCCCAAATTAGAGCTTTTTGATACTGCTTCAAGGCACAGCTAAAATACATATTTTTCCACAAAGCTTTTCCTTACGATACAAAATGACCTCACCTCTGAATTCATGAGGTTCACTGTTTGTGTCACCTGTATGAATTTTAACTCCTATGACTTTACAGTGTAGTTTTCCCCTTTGTAGATCTGCATTCTTTCAGAATACATACCTTCCACAAGGACATAGACCTTACATGTTTGTCCTTGTATCTTACAGCAGCTTGCAGCCTGAACTCCAGTAAGTACCTTGATTGACAAAAGCTAAGTGAATTGATAATGCACGTTTTGGTAGCAGGCTATGCGCCTTCTGTGAGATTAGCAGAAAAAACCTGGTAGTGTCAAGCCAAATAATTGGCCTCTGTGTGTGTGTGTGTGTGTGTGTGTGTGTGTGTGTGAGAGAGAGAGAGAGAGAGAGAGAGAGAGAGGGAGAGAGAGAGAGAGAAATCTGCCACTTCAAGATAGAAAGTATGTTAGAAAGGCACATAATGAGATACTTGCTTCCCTGCAGACATCTTCCCTTTCCAAAGAAAATAGTTTTGTTCTCCACTCTTGCTCCGGAGAGAACAGCTTGTCCCCATAGCATATTCTAGGCAATATGACCCACTTAGGAAGTATGTGACGATCGTGCCTCCCGATGGGACTCCTGCTGGAGTTGTACCACGGGAAAATGCCTCCCGAAGGGCAGGGTGGGTTTACAGATAAGGGTACACTGCTTTCTGGGGCTGCATTGGTGTGGTAAACCAAGAAACTTCATTTACGACTTGAGCTTTTACTATAAATAGCATAGAAGCTGTGACTGATTTTTTGTTACTAAACCATTTCCTAAAAATGTTACCGATTTGTGCGCGTGCCTTGCCCTTGAGGTGTCGTCACCCTGTTCTGTTTGAATAGCCCTAATATCTTACAACTAGCATCGCAGCTTGCTTTTGAGATACAGACTATTCTCTGGATTTTTATCTGTAGTTAGTCCTGCTTAGATTCTAATTTTTGGTATCTTTTATTCTCATAGCTGTTTGCTCTGACATCATGTAAAGTGTAGAGTTAAATAAATAGAGTTCTTCATGGAAGTTTCCATGATCAGCTGGAACAGTATTCTTTGGCAGGGTCCTAGCAAGACTTACGCTTTTTTGGAAAGCTAACGTTTCTCCTAGTTTAGAATTAATAGTGTTAGGAAAGCATCAGCTGATGCTGTGAATTTCCATCAATGATGCCAGCGTAAGACTACAGTGAAACGCAACGTGGTTCTGTGAGGTGAGTGTGCGGAGCCGTGCTGGGTAATGCAGCTGAAAAGTGCACACAGTGTGTATCCTGGACACGTGCACGTGCTCCTCTTTGTACCACTTGAAAGCTCTGAAGTAATTAAAGATAACAGTGCATTAAATAGAAAAAGATCTGCAACTATTTTACTTTCAAATATGGTATATTTTTTAAAAAATTTACTTATTGTGTGTGTGTGTGTGTGTGTGTGTGTGTGGCCAGCTCAGCCCACCAGGGGGCGGGGCTGGCTGGCATGTGGTGCTGGGGGACTGAACCGCGGTCCCTGTGCTTTGCCAAGCTTGTTCCAAGTAGGTGCTTTAGACCACTGAGCCATCTCACCAGCCCCTCAAATATGGTATATTGAAACTTGATCTTGCTCTATTGAGCGTGTTATTAGAAATTTTAAAAATATGTGTAGCAAATTCTGATCTGCTATGACTAGAAAAAGATATTAGTCCCCAGGTTGAGGTCATTTTAAATTTTCACTTAAACATTTTTTTTATGTTGATTTCTCATGATGAATAGGTATTCACCTATAATTTTGTAAATTTTAACCGGCCTTAGAATTTGTTACAATAAAATGTTTAAATTTTTAATTAAAAAATTATGGCCAATAGTGCTTAGTTTAATAATGCTTGCATGGAATAGGATAAAAGGTGTTTTAAACATTAGCTTGAGGGCAGTGTTGGTTAGTGCTTTAATTGTAAAATCTTTTTCAATTGATGGTCTTCTATTGGAGAAGCTTTTTAGGAAATGTATAAAGAACTATATTGTGCTTCTATCTAGAATTTTTTTGGAGATTGAAAATAGTAGAAGTTTTTTTTTTTTTTTTTTTTTTTTTTAAGGGGAGGTTTATTTGTTTTGTTTTTTTGGTGCCAAGGACTGAGCCCAGGTCAGCTTCCAGCTTGCTAGGCAAGCATTCTACTGCTGAGCCAAATCCCCAGGCCCTTCAGATTGAAAATGAAAGGATATAGAAAAATAATTAAGATGTACCAACTCCCTACAGTTAATATAATTTTATATTGCAAACATATACTAATAAAAGTGGGGGAAAAAAAGAAAATTGGAAAGCTGGATTACAATCATGATTTCAATTTGATACCTTCACGTTACGCAGTGAACCCGTTTCTTGTCAAGTAAAGGTTAGTCGGAGGCTTCTCAGCAGTTTGTTTTTTTTTTTTTTTAAGAGAATTGGTCTTACTTATTTATATATTGGTGGTACCAGGGATAAAATTCAGGACCTTGTGCTTGCTAGGCAAGCAGTTATTCCACAGAGCTATCTCCCTGGCCCCTATCAACATTTTTTGTAGAGCTTTGAGTACTTTGGTGTGTCTCCTATTACCCACAGTGGTTAAGAATAAAGAGTAGTTAGATTATTCATCTTGTAACAGCATTTTTACTACTCCCGATAAAACGCAATTTGGCCTCTCTCCCCTCCCTCCCCCTTAGCCCTTTTAGGAAGCTAAAAACAAAAGTACGGGAAATATTAAATTTCCTTGAACAATTGAAAATTTAGGGTTGAACTGCCTTTGAACATACAATCTAGGATGGCTAATCATGGGTAATTGTCAGGTTTTCGTGCTGGTAGCTCATAACAGTCACATGTGCCGTTAGCCCCAAGACTGTGTTCTGACTTCAAATCTTTGGTGGAAATGAACGTTCGGTGCAGCATTCCTGGCACTGACAGAAGACTCCTAAATGTAGTACCACGTCCGCAGAGAAGCACTTAGCAGGCACTGACTGTGCTAGGTACTAGGGACGGGACGAAGAGCTCCTGGGTCTTGCTCTTGAGGATTAATAGTGTAGGTAGAAGACAGTAAGACAAAACCTGTTTTTAAAAAGTATATAATTGAGTATATAATTGATACATTGTGTGTATCCCAGGTGGGCGCTGAGGTCAACTCATAGCAGATGTTATTGTCATGTCCTGAACCTAAAATGAACAGCTTATTAACCCTGGGATATGTGTGCTTCCCTCTAGGTGTTTGCCAAAATTGCTTTTACTGTGCTGTCAGTATGTTTGTTTAGAAGGGCTTTCGGGAGAAATGCTGTATCTGAGTCTCTTTTGCTCTGTCTTATTCTAGTTTGCCACTTATTTTGGGTGAAAGTGAACTCGTGGCTGTTCAGCATAGCTGAACTAGATGTGGACGTGAGACTACATTTACATAATGTGATGCAGCCTTTTAAATTTATACATGCTCGTGTTCCCAGCTTCATTCCTGGAAGCATTACTGAGACCAAAACCAGAGAAGGAGCCAACCAAAAAAGAGGCTAATCTCCCTAATAACTTAGACAGAAAAATCCTCAGTAAGATACTGACAAACAGAATGGCAGCAAGTCATCAAGAAGATTATACACCACGACTGTGTAGGATTTTACCCCATGGATGCTGGAAGGTTCAACATATATAAATCAGTAAATGTAGTATACCATATTAATGACCAAGGACAAAAACTACCTGATCATCTCAATAGATGCAGAGAAAGCATTTGACAAAGTCCAACACTCATTCATAATAAAAACCCTACAGAAAATTAGAATATATGGTCTTTATCTCAATTTGACGAAGCCATCTATGAAAAGCTAACCACTAACATCATACTAAATGGACAAAAACTGAAAGCTTTCACTCTAAAATCAGGAAAAGACCAAGAGACTCTCACCACTCCTATTCAATATAGTTCTGGAAACATTAGCTAGAACAATTAGACAAGAGAAAAAAAAAGAATAAAGATAAGAAAGGGAGAAGTTAAATTATTATTTGCAGATAACCTGATGCTTTACAGAGAAGACCGCAAAAACTCCACCAGAAGACTTCACGATTTAATAACCAAATTCAGTTGCAGAGCATAATCAATTAGTAGCCTTCTTTTTTTCTTTTTCTCTTTTTTTCCCTCCTTTTTTAATTAATTAATTTATTTATTTTGTGTATGTGTGGTCAGCTCAGCCCACCAGGGGGCGGGGCTGGCTGGCATATGGCGCTGGGGGACCGAACCGCGGTCCCTGTGCTTTGCTTAGCTTAGCTTGTTCCAAGTAGGTGCTTTAGACCACTGAGCCATCCCACCAGCCCAATTAGTAGCCTTCTTGTTCACAAATGATTCACTGAAAGAGAAATTAGAGAAACAACATTTTTCACAGTAGCATCCAAGAAAGAAAGACGGACAGACAGACCCAGGAATCAATCTAATAAAGGAAATTAAAGACCTCTACATTGAAAAGTACAGTACTCCGAAGAAGATTGACGAGGACAGCCGAAAATGGGAAGACAGCCCTTATTCTTTGGTAGACAAGACCCCATACAGTGAAAATGGCCATACTTCCAAAACTGTTGCACAGATTTAATACAATTCTGATCAGAATTCTAATAGCGTATCTCACAGAATTGTAGAAAACACTCCTAAAGTCATTTGGAACCAGAAGAGATCTAGAATAGCAAAAACAACTCAGGGCAACAAAGGCAAGGCAGGGGGCATCACAATCCCTGACTTGAAACTATATTATAAAGCTGTTGTGATTGATGTGTGTG